CAACAGTTTCGTTGGTGAATGAAGCGAAATTACCTTGCGAAGAGCAATCAGGATCAGAGTGTTCCCCAGAGATGCCGTAATGGAAAGAAGAATATTAAGGGTTATAGTCACTTTCGCCAGATTAAATGCCTCGGAGGAGATAGCGTTTCTATCTTCGGTTGAGTTTCCCATCTATAGAGCGCGACTGCCTTTCAGCCATATATACTGTACTCTGACATAATAACAAATATTGGGCCGGCAGGGTAGAAAACCTTCTTTTATGACTATTCAGCCTTAACTGCTGACTATTCAAAGTGATAATTCAAAGTGACAATTATATGTCAGACGCTAAAATATTGTTTTGGTAGCAGTTATTTCACATCATGATTTGGCGCTGACAAGACACTTAATTTTTTATCATAAGGCGGACAATTACAAAATCATTCAGTAATCGGCTTGAAGAAAAAGGTTGTATAAAACATCTTAATTAAAACAGTTAACGTAGCCACTTGGATTAACTTCAGGTGAATGTTAATCGAAAGTTTTACTCCAACTTCACCGCACCGCATGCAATTTACGACTAAATGTAGTTACATTTGCAAATTAATCATTTGCTACTTCCTCCGTTTCCTATTAACGGTAAAAAAGCCCCTAATGTCAAAATTTAAATTCTCATTTCGTGCCGCGTTTTCCCTGAAGTAGTGGGGAGCCGAGTTGTTGAATCAGCACATCATATCTTTTTTGATCATACCCTTAATTATTGTGATCGGCACTCTTGATGGGTTAAAAACGGAGGTGTTCTACCTTTGACAAGCAGAAGGACAAGCAATGTCAGAGAAAAGTTAATATCAAGATAAAAGTTAATGTCAGAGAAAAGTTAATAACAAATTTAACCTTGACAGCACACAAGTTATTGTAGCGTGGTATGACATACCCCTTCTTTACGAGCTTATTACATGGCGCCTTTCACCTTAAAGCTGGAGCTCCCTAGGGAGATAATCTTCATTTTCTTTTAAACGAGTATAGTGATCTATCATTTTGCTTCCCTTTTTTGAGATGAGCATCAATTTTCTTTCTCTAGAATAAACGTAGACTTCAAGCAAGACAGATGGAGAATACGAAGTTAAACTAATCTTTTCGTTTATTCGTTTTTCTGAGGCTTCTAGGAAGGACTGTAATTTTTATTTTGTTCTAACGGACACCATTTGACTAAACAAAATGTGAAAAAAATACAGGATAACGCACGCCACCTTTAAACGACGAATGTTTATTGGAAATGGACTTTTAATATAATTGCCTTTGACGTTCAGAGCTTTTCAAATTTTTAAAAGTCCAAATTTACCCCAGTTTGCAACATGTTTCAAAACGTCAGCAATAAGGTTACATCATGTGAGTTTTAGGACCTTTGTTCAATCCTTATAATTAAGCAGTTCCTTGTTGCATCTTTCATGATCAAGGCCATCTGGAGTCCGGTTTTGAACACCTCTAAGAAGAGGCGTTCGTGGAGGGAGAGAGTCCTTCATCCGACGTCTTCCTCATAAACGTAAATTCATTCAAGAAAGCATGCCTTCCTGACTCCGCTCCTGTTCTCTTGGAAAAACGAAGTTATAATACACAATGAAAGAGGCAGGAGATTTCTCTCCCTGCTTCATCGTAAACGTCGTAGTCAATACCTTCTCATGTTACACAACGATCATGTTGAACATCGTCTTAATATTCGCGCTGCGAAGGACTTCATCACTGCCAAAGACTCTGAAAGCATTGATCCTTAGCGTGGCTGTTTCTGATCTTGGTATTGGATTAGTTGCCCAGCCTTTGTACATCACTCGCATGATTATGCAAATACAACAAACTGACGACCAGGAAACTTATAACGGTACAGATAGAGCTCTGCGCCTCATAGGAAGAACCCTGGGTTATGCTTCATTCTTCGGTGTCACAACTATCAGCGTTGACAGATTCCTTGCTATCCACCTTCACCTCAAACACCAAGAACTTCTCACCTACCAAGAAATTGTGACGTACAAGCGTGTTGTAGCTGCAGTGATCTTAAGCTGGATTCTCAGTGCTTGCCTAGCCCTAACCGGTGTTTTGAGCAGCAAAAATGTTTGTAGCCTTATTGGGATGACTGTGGGATTGGTTTGTCTCCTTACTATGGGTCTAATCTATTTCAAGATTTCCACAGTCGTACGTCGCCACACCGTTCAAGTTCATGCACAGCCAGCCCAAGCAGTGGCACCGAACGAAGAAAGTCACTCAAATTTCGAAAGACTGAAAAAAACAGCAGTTTGTACATTTTATGTATATCTGTTGTTTTTGGCCTGTCATTTGCCAATGACTATTGTGATCCTGACCGGACGACAGAAGAATAAGATGAAACATTTATTGATTTACGCTCGGACGCTGATATATTTGAGTTCATCCCTCGTTCCTCTGGTTTACTGCTGGAAGTTTAGACACATCCGATGCGCTATCAAGAACATTCTGCGCGACATATTCGCAAGTCAGAATCAGATTCAGCAAAGCTAAACTATATGTCTATCTGTTGTTTTTGGCCTGCCATTTGCCAATCGTTATTGTGATCCTGGTCGGACAGATGAATAAGATGAATTTCAAAGAACATTTCTTAATTTACGCTCGGACGCTGTTAAATTTAAGTTCATCCCTTTTTCTTCTGGTTTACTGCTGGAAGTTTAGACACATCCGATGCGCTATCAAGAACATTCAGTGCGACATATTCGCAAGTCATTACTAGATTTAAGAAGGCTAAATTTTACTAACTTGATTCAGCCTTTGAAAAATGACATGACCTTTCGAATCTCTGTATACGCATCGTGTAGGAAATTATAACGGTTTTCCTGTGTCATATTTAAACGAAAGACCTAAACATTTGTTTGTCTCCCGATTTATTCGTTCTTGATGGCCTTATTCGTCCTTTATTACATATAAAAACGCCAAACGTAATGTAACTTTTGCTATGAGGTTTGTATTATAAATTGCAGTTTTATTTGGGTGACAAAAAATTGGCGGAAGTTAGAACTTTAATCTAAAAACAATAGTATGCAGATAACTTCGTACACCTGTAACCTATAAATTAGAAATTCTTAGTTTTCTATGGTTATCATTTTTGAATGACATACATGTATAATAGTTTGATTTCAGGTAGAATTTTCTGGCGAATCGATTAATAAACCTCAAAAAAATATTAATTTTAAATTAAGAAAGAATGATGCACGATTTGTTATGTAAGTATTAGTTTTAACTAATAAAGGAAAGATCATGAAGAGCGATCAACGTCATCATCCTTAACCTTTCAAATCCTAGGATCAAAATTAAAATTCTCCTTTGTCGCCCCTATTCATTTACTATAGGAGTAGTGAGAAGAAGTTGAAAAAAATATCAAGCAAATACATTGTGTGATCATGTCCTAATTAAATTCTCAGCTAGGGACTATGCTGAGCCGAACATCTTACGTCGTCTGGATATTAGATAAAACACTAAATGTTGTGTTTAACACAGCTTGTCAACGAACAATGATTCTTGAAGAAACTAAAAACAATAAAAGTTCGCAAAATTTTATGGTAATTAATTTTTTCCAACCTCCGTTACGGTAGTAATTTCCTGTTTTTGCTTTCTTTTTATGAATTATTAATGAGCTTAGGAATACTCAATCAACCTTGTTCTTGCTCGACGGAGGAAGTAGAGTTTAAGGACTCTGGGAACGAGGTCGTTAGACAGACCACTGCAATAATTCACGTCACCCCAAGGCTTGGGGAAATGAAACAATAGGAATCACCTGGAAGTTCAGTCATGAATAAAAATATATCTTTGTTTTATTGCCCCAAAACCCTGAGCCTGTAAAGACCACGAACACTTGCATTTTTAATAAAACAGTTTTATAATTAACACAAGGATCAATTTCTTTTTCTTTAAGTGGTACAATACAAAAGAAATTTAATTTATTTTTGCTTCTATCGAAGTGCAAACATTTATATTGTCTTGAGTTTGCTGTGAGATTTCTAACACATCAATAGCTTCAGCTAAAATCGAAAATTAAAATCCAGCTTGATATAACCCCGCACCACATGCAATTTACGACTAGTTACGCCACAGTTACCCCAAGCTCCGGAGCGAGAATCGTTGCTGGGTAACAGAAATCAGAAATATTATAAAGGTTTGTAAGGGGATTTTATCGATACTTAGTCAGGGTACTAAAATAAAAAATAAAAATATATCAAAACTTCTTACCTTGCCTGCTTGTTTTATTCATGGCATGTTCCTAGTATTTCTGGCCCAGTCAGCGCGATTCTAGTGAGTTTTTTAGTTCTGCCGTTGTTCACCTGCTCTCTCTATGCAATGCTAAGACCATACCATGAATAAAACAGGGAGGAGAGGCAAGAATTTTTTGGTGAATTTTCATTTCTATTTTAGTGGCCTAAATAACGATCGCTAAAATCCCCATACATAACCCATATAATAGTTATGTTACGTAACAACGATTTTCTTTCGTGAGCTTGGGGTACCTGTGATCATTTGCTACTTCCTCCGTTTCCTATTAACACTAAAAAAGCCTTTAATATTCAAATTTAAACCCACATTTGGTGCACCTGTGCGTTTTCTCCGGAAGTGGTGGAAAGAAAGTAATTATAGTGCCTTACGTGGAGAAACTTGAAATGCTCAGTCCATCATTATGATCAGCTCGGCTAGCAATTAAGGTCGACTTATGGATTACAAGGAAAAAAAATAAACAGACATCTCGTTAATTGCCCAGCTCGGCAAGACGTTGAATTGAACGCCCCCGCGCGGTGAGGCCCGTGTCCCTAACCAATGCGTGTGTTGTTGAACACAGCCGCTGATTAGCCTTAGAACATTTTTTGGCTAGAAAGAAGAATAACAAGCCGAAAATAGTCGACCTCCATGACTTTTGAAACTATAATCAAAGAATGACGGAATCTGGAGGTCTCTTTACATCGCGCGCCGTGACCTGTATCTTTAAGGCTTTTTTGTCTTACACTGCAATCATGTTGAACATTTTAACAATTCTGGCGCTGAGAAAGACTTTTTCTTTGCCCAAGCCTTTAAAAACACTGCTTTTGAGTTCGGCCGTTTCTGATCTTGGAATCGGTTTGGTTGTCCAGCCTTTGCAGATATCACGTCTTGTCATGGAGTTGCAAGCAGACACTGACAGCAACTCGTACTATAATATTTGGAATGCAATACACAAAACAGGCGTTGTTTTCTTTTATGCTTCTTTCCTTGGTGTTTCAGCCCTTACTGTGGACCGATTCTTGGCGATTCATCTTCATCTCAGATACAATGAACTTGTGACCCACAGGCGTGTCGTTTTTCTTGCGATCCTGATTTGGCTTTTCAGTGCTTTTACTTCGATGGCTAGTGTCTGGATTCCAAAAACTGTAAGAGTCTTCTTTGCTGTAGGTATTGTTGCTGTTTGCTCCATAGGTACAGTATCTTTTTATTACAAGATTTGGTTAGTGGCGCGACGCCACAAAACTCTAATCCAAACACTTCAAGCCGCACACGGCATCTCTCAACGTGGTAGAACATCTGATTCACATTTCTTGAACTCTTCTTTGAAGGCTGCGCGAGTTTCATTTTTGGTGAACCTAATTTTTGTGGCTTGTTATTTACCAAATACCCTTGCAATTGCTACGGCTGCAAAAGGTAGCAATGAACATTCCGGGGTGTTAGAACATTTGCCTCTCTATACTTTGACATTGTTGTTTCTCAATTCTTCCCTCAATCCTCTGATTTACTGTTGGAAGATGAGACATATTCGATACGCCATCAAAAGTATTCTTCGGGAAATTTTGAAATTCTTAAATAACAAAAATTAATGGATAAAGATCAACCAAAATAATTAATAACAATGTTAATACCTGTACACACCGGTTCCGTTTTTAGGCGGGAAGGCCAAATGAAAGATATATAGCCCCACGTAAGGTAATCCAAGACAGTCTGAGAGACTCTGAAACCTTAAACTCATTAATAATTCGTAAAGAAAATACAAATGACATTAATGTTTAATGAGTGTTTGGAAATAAAATGAAAAACTGCTCATTTTTGCATCAGGCAGACGATTGCAAAATCATTCAGTCACTGGCTTGAAGGCAAATTAAACATTTAAGAATGGTTAATGAAGCCACGTAGATTAGCTGCAGCTAAAATCGAAAATTAACATCCAGCTTGATATAACCCCGCACCACATGCAATTTACGACTAGTTACGCCACAGGTACCCCAAGCTCCGGAGTGAGAATCGTTTTTGCGTAACAGAAATCAGAAATATTATAAAGGTTGGTAAGGGGATTTTAGCGATAGTTAGTCAGGGTACTAAAATAAAAAATAAAAATACATCAAAACTTCTTACCTTGCCTGCTTGTTTTATTCATGGCATGTTCCTAGCATTTCTGGCCCAGTCAGCGCGATTCTGGCGAGTTTTAGTTCTGCCGTTGTTCACCTAATCTCTCTATGCGATGCTAAGACCATACCATGAATAAAACAGGGAGGAGAGGCAAGAATTTTTGGTGAATTTTCATTTCTATTTTAGTGGCCTTAATAACGATCGCTAAAATCCCCATACAAACCCACATAATAGTTCTGTTACGTAACAACGATTTTCCTTCTTGAGCTTCGGGGTCTGTGATTATTTGCTACTTCGTCCGTTTCACATTAATCCTACAAAACCCTCTAATATCAAAATTAAAATCCTCATCCGGTGCACCTGTACACTTTCTGTTTAAGTAGTGGGAGCAGTTTTGAAGTATCAGCGCGTTATAACCCCTGAGGGAGGGGGGGGGGGGGGGGAGGGGGGGGGGTTTTTAAAAATTATTGGGAGATCCCCCCTCGGGGGTTTTTACAAACATAAATTAAAACCTTTATTATTTTTTTAAACAAAATTTGCATAAAAGGCATTAATGATTATAAAGGAAAAAGGGTAGGTGGGGTGTTTTCTTTTTAAAGATAAACATTAACAAACCTATAAATCATAAAAGAAAACGACAAATTCCCCTCCAGGTTTTGTTTTCTGTTGTAGTTGGGGTGGTTGGGGGTGGGGGGAGGATGAGGGGGGGTGGTGGGGGTGGGGGGGGGGGGGTGGGGGGGGGGGGGAAGAGGCGGGTACTTTAAGACATATATGGCAGTACCCCGACTGGGGTTATATCATACGTATAATCATACCCTTAATTAATTCTTTACACCAATCTGCTTTATAAGCATTGATCAGTTGAAAGGAGAAATGTGATGATGAGGTGTTCTACCTTTGACAAGCAGAAGGACGAGAAAAATGTCATAGAAAACGTTCATATCAAATTTAACCTTAAGTCAGCAAACAAGTTATTGTAGCGTGGTATGACATATCGCTTCTTTAAGAGCTTATTACATGGAAATTGCTGAATGTGACAAATAACGCATTTACACAAACGATACATTAACCCACGAATTATTTGCTGCATTATGATAAGTGTGACCTGGCAAAAAACAGGCGTGGAGCCGGAGGGTGTAACTTAATACTGCAGATTAGAGGCGTCAGTTGAATTAGTTTAATTTTTGCTCTGGATTTAACCCTTCTTTTTTCTAGCATGATAAAGCATGTTTCAAGTACAAACATTTCTGTTATCTTAACAAAAGCTGAATTGTTGCAATCTAAGTTCGCATCATTTGATTCACTCATCCTTCATTAGTCTAGATCACGAGACATACGACGGTTGAGTTTTTTCCTTATTATTACATTGCACATCTTTACTACTTATAATTACAGGCATCAGATGATTAGACCGCGCACATTATCAAAACATGGCGCCTTTTGCCTTGAGGCTGGCGCTCCCTAGAGAGATAAATCTTCATTTTCTTTTAAACGAGTATGGTGATCTATCATTTTGTAAATTTCTCTTTTTTTTCTAATATTCTTTCTCTAGAATAAATGTACACTTCAAGCAAGACTGTGGAGACTATGAAGTCTAACTAATCTTCTTGTTTATTCGTTTTTCTGAGGTTTCTAAAAAGGGCTTTAACTTTGAATTCTGCTAACAGAAGCCATGCCACTAAACGAAATGTTTAAAACGACGGATGTTTATTGGAGATGCGCTTTTAATATTAATTGCCTTGACGTTGAGGGGTTTTAAAACCTTTTAATGTCCAAATTTACCCCAGTTCGCAACATGTTTCAAAACGTCAGCTAAGTAAGAAGGAAAGAGTAAGAAAGAGGCGTTCGTGGAGGGAGAGAATCCTTCATCCGACGTCTTCCTCATAAACGTAAACTCATTCAAGAGCACGCCTTCCTGACACCGCTGCCGTTCTCTTGGAAAGAGGAAATTATAATACACAATGAAAGAGGCAGCAGATTTCTCTCCCGGCCTCATCATAAACGTCGTAGTCAATTCCGTCTCATGTTACACAACAATCATGTTGAACATTGTCTTAATATTCGCGCTGCGAAGGTCTTCATCACTGCCAAAGCCTCTGAAAGCATTGATCCTTAGCGTGGCTGTTTCTGATCTTGGTATTGGATTAGTTGTCCAGCCTTTGTACATCGCTCGCATGATTATGCAAATACAACAAACTGACGACCACGAAACTTCTAAAGATATAGATAGAGTTCTGCACCTCATAGGACGCACCCTTGGTTATGCTTCATTCTTCGGTGTCACAGCTATCAGCGTTGACAGATTCCTTGCTATCCACCTTCACCTCAAACACCAGGAACTTCTCACCTACCAAGAATTTGTGACTTACAAGCGCGTTGTAGCTGCAGTGATCTTAAGCTGGCTTCTCAGTGCTTTCCTGGCTCTAACCGGTGTTCTGAACGGTGGATATGTTTGCAACCTTGCAGCGGTGACTGTGGGATTGGTTTGTCTCTTTACCATGGGTCTAATCTATTTCAAGATGTACATAGCCGTACGTCGCCACACCGTTCAAGTTCATGCACAGCCAGCCCAAGCAGTGGCACCGAACGAAGAAAACCGATCAAATTTTGAAAGAGTGAGAAAAACAGCAGTTGGTACCTTTTACGTCTATCTGTTGTTTTTGGCCTGCCATTTGCCAATCGCTATTGTGATCTTGGAGACACGGAGAAATGAGGTCGGGGAACATATGTTAATTTACACTCACACGCTGCTATATTTGAGTTCATCCCTCGTTCCTCTGGTCTACTGCTGGAGGTTTAGACACATCCGATGCGCTATCAAGAACATTCTGCGCAACATATTCGCAAGTCAGAATCAGATTCAAGAAGGTTAAATTTTACTAACTCAGTAAATCAGCCTTTGAAAAATGACATGACCTGTCTAGTCTGTACACTCATCGTGCAGGAGGTTATAACGGTTTTCCTGTGTCATATTTAAACGATAGACTTATTCGTCCTTTATTACATATAAAAATGCCAAACGTACTGTAACTTTTGCTATTAGGTTTATTTGTATTATAAATTGCACTTTTATTTGGGTGACAAAAAATTGGCGGAAGTTAGAACTTTAATCTAAAAACAATAGTATGCAGATAACCTCGTACACCTGTAACCTATAAATTAGAAATTCTTAGTTTTCTATGATTATCATTTTTGAATGACATACATGTATAACAGTCTGACTTAAGGTAGAATTTTCTGGCGAATCGATTAATAAACCTCACGAAAATATTAAGTTTAAATTAGGAAAAAATGATGCACGATTTGTTATGTTAGTACTGGTTTTAACTAATAAAGGAAAGATCATGAAGAGCATTCAACGTCATCATCCTTGACCCTTTAAACCCTAGGATCAAAATTAAAATTCTCCGTTATCGCTCCTATTCATTTACTATAAAAGTGGTGAGGAGAAGTTCATAAAATATCAAGCAAATACATTCTGTGTGATCATGTCCTAAATTCTCAGCTAGGGACTATGCTGCGCCGAACATCCTTCAAGAAAGGAGCGACTTAAAGGCGTCTGGATATCAGATAAAACACTAAATGTTGTGTCTGATACAGCTTCTCAATGAACAATGATTCTTGAAGAAATTCAAAGCAATGAAAGTTCGCAAAATTTTGTGGTAATTAATATTTTCCAACCTCCGTTACGGTAGTGATTTCCAGTTTTTGTTTTCTTTTCATGAATAATTAATGAGCTTAGGAATACTCAAACAACCTCGTTCTCGCTCGACGGAGTAAGTCGAGTTTAAGGACTCTGGGAACGAGGTCGTTAGACAGACCACTGCAATAATTCACACGTCACCCCAAGGCTCGGGGAAATGAAACAATAGGAATCACCTGGAAGTTCAGTCATGAATAAATATACATCTTCTGTTTTATTGCCCCAAAACTCTGAGCCGGTAAAGACCACGAACTCTTGCATTTTCAATAAAACAGTTTTATAATTAACACAAGGATCAATTTTTTTTTCTTTTAGTGGTACAATACAAAAGAAGTTTAATTTATTTTTGCCTCTATCGAAGTGCAAAAATTTATATTGTCTTGTGTTTGCTGTGAGATTTCTAACACATCAATAGCAGTGCTATTTCACATCATGATGTGGCGCTGAAAAGACAATTAATTATTTATCACACGGCAGACGATTACAAAATCATGCAGTCATTGGCTTGAAGGTAAATAAAACATTTTAGAATGGTTAATGAAGCCACGTAGATTAGCTGCAGCTAAAATCGAAAATTAAAATCCAGCTTGGTACACCACAAGCAATTTACGATTAGTTACGCCACAGGTACCCCAAGCTCCGGACTGAGAATCGTTGTTGCGTAACAGAAATCAGAAATATTATAAAGGTTGGTAAGGGGATTTTAGCGATAGTTATTTAGGGCACTAAAATAAAAAATAAAAATATATCAAAACTTCTTACCTTGCGTACTTGTTTTATTCATGGTATGTTCCTAGCATTTCTGGCCATTTAAGCGCGATTCTAGCGAGTTTTAGTTCTGCCGTTGTTCACCTGCCTTTCCATGCGATGCTCAGACCATACCATGAATAAAACGGGGATCGAAAGGTAAGAAGTTTTGATGTATTTTTATTTCTATTTAGTGTCCTAAAAAACGATCGGTAAAATCCCCATACAAACCCATATAATAGTTCTGTTACGTAACAATGATTCTCTTTCGTGAGCTTGGGGTACCTGCGATTATTTGCTACTTCTTCCGTTTCCTATTAACACTAAAAAAGCCTTTAATATTCAAATTTAAACCCTCATTTGGTGCACCTGTACGTTCTCTCCGGAAGTGGTGGAAAGAAAGTAATTATGGTGCCTTACGTGGAGAAACTTGAAATGCTCAGTCCATCATTATGATCAGCTCGGCTGGCAATTAAGGTCGACTTATGGATTACAAGAAAAAAAAAATAAACAGACATCTCTTTAATTGCCCAGCTTGGCGAGACGTTGAATTGAATGCCCCCGCGCGGTGAGGCCCGTGTCCCTAGCCAATGCGTGTGTTGTTGAACACAGCCGGTGATTTGCCTTAGAATATTTTTTGGCTAGAAAGAAGAATAACAAGCCGACAATAGTCGACCTCCATGACTTTTGGAACTATAATCAAAGAATGACGGAATCTGGAGGTCTCTTTACATCGCGCGCCGTGACCTGTATCTTTAACGCCTTTTTGTCTTACACTGCCGTCATGTTGAACATTTTAACAATTCTGGCGCTGAGAAAGACTTTTTCTTTGCCCAAGCCTTTAAAAACACTGCTTTTGAGTTTGGCCGTTTCTGATCTTGGAATCGGTTTGGTTGTCCAGCCTTTGCATATATCACGTCTTGCCATGGAGTTGCAAGCAGACACTGACAGCAACTCGTACTATAATATTTGCAATGCAATACACAAAACAGGCGCTGTTTTCTTTTATGCTTCTTTCCTTGGTGTTTCAGCCCTTACTGTGGACCGATTCTTGGCGATTCGTCTTCATCCCAGATACAATGAACTTGTGACCCACAGGCGTGTCGTTGCTCTTGCGATCCTGATTTGGCTTTTCAGTGCTTTTACTTCGATGGCTAGTGTCTGGATTCCAAAAACTTTAAGAGTCGTCTTTGCTGTAGCTATTGTTGCTGTTTGCTCCATAGGTACAGTATTTTTTTCTTGCAAGATTTGGTTAGTGGCACGACGCCACAAAACTCTAATCCAAACACTTCAAGCCGCAACCGGCATCTCTCAACGTGGTAGAACATCTGATTCACATTTCTTGAACTCTTCTTTGAAGGCTGCGCGAGTTTCATTTTTGGTGAACCTAATTTTTGTGGCTTGTTATTTGCCAAATACCCTTGCAATTGCTACGGCTGCAAAAGGTAGCAATAAACAATCCGGGGTGGTAGAACATTTGTCTCTCTATACTTTGACATTGTTGTTTCTCAATTCTTCCCTCAATCCTCTGATTTACTGTTGGAAGATGAGACATATTCGATACGCCATCAAAAGTATTCTTCGGGAAATTTTGAAATTCTTAAATAACAATAATTAATGGATAAAGATCAACCAAAATAATTAATAACAATGTTAATACCTGTACACACCGGTTCCGTTTTTAGGCGGAAAGGCCAAATGAAAGATATATAGCCCCACGTAAGGTAATCCAAGACAGTCTGAGAATCTGAAACCTTAAACTCATTAATAATTCGTAAAGAAAATACAAATGACATTAATGTTTAATGAGTGTTTGGAAATAAAATGAAAAACAGCTCATTTTTGCATCCTTAATTTCTCCTTCTAAAATCCTTTTGTTTGAGAAGTAATATCAAGCATTCGACAGTGTTTCATCACCAGATGAAACACCTCGAAGTTCGTCAAAAATTTTCCGCTGCGCGTCGTATTTTCAACTCTCTTCTCGGTGTTGAGCTGTGTTTCATCTGGCGATGAAATACTGCGTCTCATTCTTGATGTATTACTTGACTATAGTAGCGTTTCGTGAATGCTTACTGATTTGAACTGGCCTTCACTGCAGTCAAGGCGCAGGATATGAGGTCTCGGCATGTTTTATAAAATATATAGAGGTCAAGTCAACATCTTCCTTCCCTATGACCTCATCTCCATGCCTGCGCATGGCCGTACAAGGGCCAGTCACGACTTTAAGATCAGACTCTCATCCTCTTAAGTTGACGCTTACAAACACTCTTTTTATGTAAGAGCAATCACCGTATGGAACGCTTTGTCAGCTGACGTTGTTAGTTCTTCATCGTACCCAGAATTCATCCGAAGAGTGTCTACTAATTCAACATAATAATAGAATTTACATCGTTGTTTTTTCATTTTTTGGATACCATGAAATTAAGCGACCGCTAGCCGCTCCATTGCCGGATTAGCATTATTTGTAACGCTAGTGGCAATTACCATGATTAAAGACTAAAGATTACAGCAAGGAGCCCAAAAGTGTGACCGCTTTTAATTCATTCACTTTCTTTCGTGCAGATTTAATCCAGTCAGAAGCCAGCTGGAAACTGCCCTCGACTTCCGATTGGTTAATGTCCGCATGAAAGAATGTGAATTAATTAAAAGAGGTCACACTTTGGGGTTCCTTGCTGTAAACTGACAAGGAATCCGGAATCCAGTACTTGGAATCAAATTAATCTACAGCATCAAGAGCCATAACATGGAATCCAGAACACAAGACTGTTTTGATTACCTCTAATACATGGGGCGAATCAGGGACCACATCTCTCTAAGGACGCAAGGAGACTGAAGACGGGAAAGAAGTAGTGATCATACTGGCAATGATCATGTGCATCGTACATGTGAAACACTGATGGACTGTCTAGCAGAGTCATGCTATGGACGACTGAATAACTTTTACGTTTGGTCATTTCAGCGTCTGCGGAACTGACCAGATGGCGGGACAAAGTTAATGAGATAGATGAGGAAGTGCCAGAGAGAGATGAGGTACGTAAGTGGGGGTGACTGTTTAAGACGTCACAGCTCGCCTGGGCAGGACACAATTTATTAGGCCTTAGGCTTTCCCTCTTGCCCCAGTGTCCACTCGAAGTCTGGGAAAGGGTGGGCATGAGACCAAGTCTCGGAAAGGTCCTTCTCGGTGACGTCACAGCTCACGTAGAGTCCAGGATTGACCTAGGCGAGAACGGCTAGGTACTAGGTTGAGCCGAACATCATTAAAGAAAGGAGCGACTTAAAGGCGTCTGGATATCAGATAAAACACTAAATGTTGTGTTTGCCAAATACAACTTCTCAATGAACAATAATTCTTGAAGAAATTCAAAGCAATAAAAGTGCGCAAAATTTTGTGGTAATTAATTTTTTTCAACCTTCGTTACGGTAATGATTTGCTTGTTTTTGTTTTCTCTTCTTGAATTATTAATAAGCTTAGGGATACTCAATCAACCTTGTTCTCGTTCGACTCTAGGAACGAGGTTGTTAGACAGACCACACGTCACCCCAAAGCTCGGGGAAATGAAACAATAGGAATCACCTGGAAGTTCAGTCATGAATAAATATATATCTTTTGTTTTATTGCCCCGAAACTCTGAGCCTGTAAAGATCACGAACACTTGCATTTTCAATAAAACAGTTTTATAATTAACACAAGGATAAAAAGAAGTTTAATTTATTTTTGCTTCTACAGAAGTGCAAAAATTTATATTGTCTTGTGTTAGCTGTGAGATTTCTAACACATCAGTAGCAGTGTTATTTCACATCATGATATGGAGCTGAAAAGACAATTCATTTTTTATCACACGGCAGACGATTACAAAATCATTCAGTCATTTGCTTGAAGGCAAATAAGACATTTTAGAATGGTTAATGAAGCCACGTAGATTAGCTGCCGCTAAAATCGAAAATTAAAATCCAGCTTGAAAAAACCCCGCACCACATGCAATTTACGCCAAGTTACGCCACAGGTTCCCAAAGCTCCGGATTGAGAGTCGTTGTTGAGTAACAGAAATCAGAAATATTATAAAGGTTGGTAAGGGGATTTTAGCGATAGTTAGTCAGGGTACTAAAATAAAAAATAAAAATACATCAAAACTTTTTACCTTGCCTGCTTGTATTATTCATGTATGTTCCTAGCATTTCTGGCCATTTCACGGCGATTTTAGCGAGTTTTAGTTCTACTCTGTCTATGCGATGCTAATACCATACCATGAATAAAACAGGGAGGCAAGGTAAGAATTTTTGGTGTATTTTCATTTCTATCTTAGTGGCCTAAATAACGATCGCTAAAATCCCCATACAAACCCACATAATAGTTCTGTTACGAAACAACGATTTTTTTTCGTGAGCTTGGGGTACCTGTGATCATTTGCTACTTCTTCCGTTTCCCATCACGTAACCCTTATGCAGAGTTAAAACCTTTAAATTTTAGGACGAGGACGAGATCGAACTTATAGTTTGTTTGCGTATTCTCAAAAAAACTGTTCATCCCGGAAAGCTTCACGGTTTTTTTTGTTTTGTTTTGTTTTTTGTTTTTTCACCAGAAAGTTAACAAGATTCGTTTTATAAAAAGAGGTTAAGCTCTCTCGCGATCGCAAAATGATAAAACTTCTACTATTTGCTTACTTATCTCCGTCACTGCGACACTCTCGCTAAAAATCGTAGTAGAATGACGACGGTCATCATTCGACCTAACGACAAGTCTACGCTTGACTTTTTGACACATAACGAAAAAAAGGGAACAAATTTTAAAAAGAGAGCCGCTCATACGAACAAAACCTCGTAGGTCTTTGTGGCTGAAATTTTTTACATTTGTTTCCGCAGGTAATACCGACAATGGATGATTTGGAAGGACTTTGTGTATTCAAAGAGAAGAGAACACCGCAATACACAGGAGAATAAGACAGCTATTTCTTTATTTAATTTCAAAAAAATTAATTAAGAAAAGGACTCACAATACCGGAGCATGCGGAAGTTTCCCTAAAGCCATGGACTTTAAAAATGGATCTTAATTGTTTTGAGAAATTGCACCAACTCAAAGGGAAAATTTTTAAGACTATTGGCGTGGCTGTTTTAAAAAGAATGTAATTATACTTCCCAAACTGGAGAAACCTATTAGAATGCTCACCATCAGCTTGGCTACTAAGTCGGCTTATCCCATTTAAGTCGACTCATAAATAGCAAGATAAAGCAAAGAGAGATCTGTTTATTTGCTCAGCGTGGCAAGACACGGTACCTCTTCGCTTAGCCAGCGAGTTGCGCGTTCAACCAACCCCGAACATTAATCCAGTCACAATCAGTTTTATTCCCAATTTATATCGTGGCGTTCTTCACATGTATTATAAGGCTCATATTGACAATTTTCTGTAAGCTTACATCTACTAGAAAGCTCGCATTTCCTGAAACCAATTCCATAAAAGATGAAACAACCGATTATTGTGTACCATGTTATCAGCTATAATATCTCTAGTACGTCCTTCTTTTAAAATATACTTGTTTGATTGAAAAGCGATTATACAATCAGACTGTTTCTCCATAAATCGGTCGCCGAGGTTTGGAACTCAGCGTAAACAATTACAATACAACTGTTTGATTGTGGCCTTCACGGCTTGTCCCACTTCTTTGATCCTCCAACAGTACAGGAACGGGTTAAGAGATGAGTTTAAGAAGATGAGAGTTGAAAATACAAGATTCGAGGCCAAACCGAAAACCTCACTGTTAGCAAGAACGCTATTCAACAGTAATATCGCATTTAAAATAACAAATGGGATATAGCATATAACTAACGCCCACTGCACCAAAGCTATGCTGGTAACGGTTTTTTGAAACTGTGCTATGTTCAACGCCGGAATTCCCCCTCCGATTGGTTGCCCATGATGAACATTGCATTGCACAGTAGGGTGCACAGTAGCTTGATGTAGACGCAGCTTGATAAATATGGTGGTGTAAGAAAGAAGTGAGGTAACGATACAAAGCATTGCCGAGACTGAAAGTGTTGCCAAGGCGATGTTTGTATCCCAGAACAAGAACATGAAAATGCCCAAAACAGGAATTAACCAGAAGCAGAAAACAACTGCACGAACTCGCTTCAGTGTTACAACGTGCCTGTACCTTAGCTTCAACGAAAGGGCGAGAAGTCTGTCCACACTTAAAGCAGTCGTTGTAAGCAAGGAAACCGCACAGAGACAAATTGATAAAGCCCAGATTATATAGTAGAGAATAGAGATGATATTCGAAAGCTTAAGGTTGGAGTTTATCAGAAACATGTTGTAGATGGCATAGAGTGGCTGCGAAATGAGACCAACGCCAAGATCAGTGATCGCCAGGCATTGAAACAACAGTTTCGTTGGTGAATGAAGCGAAGTTACCTTGCGAAGAGCAATCAGGATCAGAGTGTTCCCCAGAGATGCCGTAATGGAAAGAAGAATATTAAGGGAGAAAAATATAATAGTCACTGTCGCCCGATTAAATGCCTCGGAAGAGATAGCGTTTCCATCTTCGGTTGAGTTTCCCATCTATAGGGTGCGACTGCCTTTCAGTCATATATACTGTACTCTGACATAATAACAAATATTGGGCCGGTGGGCTAGAAAACCGTCCTTTATAACTGTTCAGCCTTAATTGCTGATTATTCAAAGTGATAATTCAATGCAAAGTGACAATTATATGTCAGACGCCAAAATATTGTTTTGGTAGCAGTTATTTCACATCATGATTTGGCGCTGACAAGACACTTAATTTTTTATCATAAGGCGGACAGTTACAAAATCATTCAGTAACCGGCTTGACGACAATGGTGGTATAAAACATTTTAATGAGAACAGTTAACGTAGCCACATGGATTAACTTCAGCTGAATGTTAATCGAAAATTAAATGTAAACTTCCCGCAAATTCAGATGGATGCGACCCCGCACCGCATGCAATTAATACTACATGTAGTTTAAATTGCAAATTAATTATTTGCTACTTCCTCCGTTTCCTATTAACCCTAAAAAAGACCCTAATATCAAAATTTAAATTCTCATTTCGTGCCGCGTTTTCCCTGAAGTAGTGGGGAGCAGTTGTTGAAGTATCAGCACATAAGGGCCATTTATACGAGGAAACATAAGACGCGTCTTAAATAAGACACGAACTGTACCATTTATACGAGCATGTCTTATCTAATAAGACGCGTCTTAGCTAAGCCGCGTCTTATTTTAGACGAAATGTGCCGTTTATACAGAAAGTTCGCGTCTTATTTAAGACGCGTCTTATGTAAGACGCGTCTTATTTTTCCTCGTATAAATGGCCCTATTATGTCTTGTGTAATCATACCCTTAATTCTTGTCACCAATATTGCAAGGAGAAATGTGATGCTGATCACTCTTGATGGATTAAAAACGGGGGTGTTCTATCTTTGACAAGCAGAAGGACGAGCAATGTCAGAGAAAAGTTAATATCTTAGATAAAAGTTAATGTCACGGTTAATACCAAATTTACGTACCTTGACAGCACACAAGTTATTGTAGCGTGCTATGACATACCGCTACTTTAAGAGCTTATTACACTGTACATGGACATTCAGGTGAATACGACAAATAACGTATTTACACAAACAATACATTAACCCACTGGAAGCCCTGTGAATTATTTGCTGTTTCATAAGTGTGACATGGCAAAAAACAGGGGTGGAGCCGGAGGAGTCGGACGGTGTAACTTAATATTACAGATTCGAGGTATCTGTTGAATTAGTTTAATTTTTGCCCTGGAAAAAAAAACAAAAAAGCTGAAACAAAAGCTGAATTTTTGCTATCTACGTTCGCATCATTTAATTCACTCGTCCTTCATTAGTCTGGATCACGAGACTTACAACGATTAAGTTTTTTCCTTATGATCTAATAAACGCCCGGGGTGTTTATTTAATTTTAGGGGTCCAAGTGGGGACGTTTAATAGATGGGAGGCGTTTAAAAGAGAGCGGCGTTTATTCTCGTAACTCATTTTAACGAACTCAACAAAACTGTATACAGTATGCTTTCGGCTAAAAACGTTTTTGTGTTAACAGAATCTCGACTGCGGGCTGACGCCTTATCTAGAAATTGAACATGACATAATACACAAACTGACGTTAAATTGATTGATTTTGCTCAATTTCGCCATTTCCTAGTATTTGGTGGCAATTCTCAAGGGAGGCGTTCATTAGAGAGGAGCGTTTAATACTAACTTACCAGCGTAAGGAGATAAGAGGCGTTTATTTGAGAGTGGGCGTTTATTAGATCGTTTACGGTATTGAATTGCACATCCTTACCGCACATGATTACATGCATGATTAGACCGCGCACATTAAAACATGGTGCCTTTTGCCTTAAAGCTGGAGCTCCCTAGGGAGATAATCTTCATTTTCTTTTAAACGAGTATGGTGATCTATCATTTTGTTTCCCTCTTTTAAGATGAGCATCAATTTTCTTTCTCTAGAATAAACGTAGACTTCAAGAAAAACTGATGGAGAATACGAAGTTAAACTAAATATTTTCGTTTATTCGTTTTTCTGAGGCTTCTAGGGAGGACTGTAACTTTTACTTTGTGCTAACAGACACCATTCGAATAAACAAAATGTGAAAAAAATACAGGATGATGCACACCACCTTTAAATGGCGGATGTTTATTGGAAATGGACTTTTAATATAATTGTTCTGACGTTCAGAGGTTTTCAAATTTTTAAAAGTCCAAATTTACCCCAGTTCGCAACATATTTCAAATCGTCAGCGGTAAGGTTACATCACGTGATCTTTGGGACGTTTGTTCGATCCTTAAGCAGTTCCTTGTTGCGTCTTTCATGATCAAGGCCATCTGGAGTCCGGTTTTGAACAACTTTAAGAAGAGGCGTTCGTGGAGGGGGAGAGTCCTTCATCCGACGTCTTCCTCATAAACGTAAACTCATTCAAGAAAGCATGCCTTCCTGACTCCGCTCCCGTTCTCTTGGAAAAACGAAGTTATAATACACAATGAAAGAGGCAGGAGATATCTCTCCCCGCCTCATCATAAACGTCGTAGTCAATTCCTTCTCATGTTACACAACAATCATGTTGAACATTGTCTTAATATTCGCGCTGCGAAGGACTTCATCACTGCCAAAGACTCTGAAGGCATTGATCCTTAGCTTGGCTGTTTCTGATCTTGGTATTGGATTTGTTGTCCAGCCTTTGTACATCGCTCACATGATTATGCAAATACCACAAACTGACGACAAGGAAAATTTTAACGATATAGATAGAGCTCTGCGCCTCATAGGAAGGACCCTTGGTTATGTCTCATTCTTCGGTGTCACAGCTATCACCGTTGACAGATTCCTTGCCATCCACCTTCACCTCAAACACCAGGAACTTCTCACCTACCAAGACATTGTGACTTACAAGCGTGTTGTAGCTGCAGTGATATTAACCTGGTTTCTCAGTGCTTTCCTGGCCCTAACCGGTGTTTTAAGCCACGAAAATGTTTTCAACCTTGCAGGGGTGACAGTGGTATTGGTTTGTCTCCTTGCTATGGGTCTAATCTATTTCAAGATTTCCATAGTCGAACGTCGCCACACCGTTCAAGTTCATGCACAGCCAGTCGAAGCAGTGGCACCGAACGTAGAAAGTCACTCAAATTTCGAAAGACTGAGAAAAACAGCAGTTGGTACATTTTATGTATATCTGTTATTTTTGGCCTGTCATTTGCCAATCGCTATTGTCATCCTGACCGGACGACAGATGGATAAGATGAAACATTTGTTGATTTACGCTCGGACACTGTTATATTTGAGTTCATCCCTTGTTCCTCTGGTTTACTGCTGGAAGTTTAGACACATCCGATGCGCTATCAAGAACATTCTGCGCGACATATTCGCAAGTCAGAATCAGATTCAGCAAGGCTAAACTTTACGTCTATCTGTTGCTTTTGGCCTGCCATTTGCCAATCGTTATTGTGATCCTGGTCGGACAGATGAATAAGATTAATTTCAAAGAACATTTCTTAATTTACGCTCGGACGCTGTTATATTTGAGTTCATCCCTCGTTCCTCTGGTTTACTGCTTGAAGTTTAGACACATCCGATGCGCTATCAAGAACATTCTGCGCACAACATATTCGCAAGTCAGAATCAGATTCAAGAAGGTTAAATTTTACTAACTTAATTCAGGCTTTGAAAAATGACATGACCTTTCTAGTCCGCATACGCATCGTGCAGGAAGTTATAACGGTTTTCCTGTGTCATATTTAAACGATAGTTAGAGCTAAACTTTTGTTTGTTTCCCGATTTATTCGTTCTTGATGGCCTTATTCGTCCTTTATTACATATAAAAACGCTAAACGTACTGTAACTTTTGCTATTCGATTAGTAGCCTATAAATTAAAAAATTCTTAGTTTTCTATAATTATCATTTTTGAATGACATACATGTATTACAGTCTGACTTAAGGTAGAATTTTCTGGCGAATCGATTAATACATCTCACGAAAATATTAATTTTAAATTAGTTGGAAAGAATGATGCACGATTTGTTATGTAAGTATTAGTTTTAATAATACAGGAAAGATCATGAAATTAAGAGCGATCATCGTCATCATCGATAACCCTTCAAGTCCTATAGGATCAAAATTAAAATTCTCCTTTGTCGCCCCTATTCATTTACTATAGAAGTAGTGAGGAGAAGTTGATAAAATATCAGGCAAATGCATTCTGTGTGATGATGTCCTAGGTTCTCAGTTAGGGACTATGCTGAGCCGAACATCCTTCAAGAAAGGAGCGACTTAAAGGCGTCTGGATATCAGATAAAATACTAAATGTTGTGTTTGATACAGCTTCTCAATCAACAATGATTCCTGAAGAAATTCAAAGCAATAAAAGTTCGCAAAATTTTGTGGTATTAAATATTTTCCAACCTCCGTTACGGTAGTGATTTACTGTTTTTGTTTTCTTTTTATGAATTATTAATGAGCTTAGGAAAAACTCAATCAACCTCGTTCTCGCTCGACGGAGGAGGACTCTGGGAACGAGGTCGTTAGCCAGACCACTTCACCCCAAGGATTGGGGAAATGAAACAATAGGAATCACCTAAGGTACAATACAAAAGAAGTTTAAATTATTTTTGGATCTATCGAAGTCCAAACATTTATATTGTCTTGAGTTTGCTGTGAGATTTCTAACACATCACTAGCAGTGCTATTTCTCATCATGATATGGCGCTGAAAAGACAATTAATTTTTTATGACACGGCAGACGATTACAAAATCGTTCAGTCATTGCCTTGAAGGCAGATAAAACATTTTAGAATGGTTAATGAAGCCACGTAGATTAGCTGCAGCTAAAATCGAAAATTAAAATCCATCTTGATATAACCCCCCACCACACGCAATTTACGACAAGTAACGCCACAGGTACCCCAGGCTCCGGACTGAGAATCGTTGTTGCGTAACAGAAATCAGAAATATTATAAAGGTTGGTAAAGGGGATTTTAGCGATAGTTATTCAGGGCACTAAAATAAAAAATAAAAATACATCAAAACTTTTTACCTTGCCTGCTTGTTTTATTCATGGCATGTTCCTAGCATTTCTGACCTAGTCAGCGCGATTCTAGCGAGTTTTGGTTCTGCCGTTGTTTACCTGCTCTCTCTATGCGATGCTCAGACCATACCATGAATAAAACAGGGAGGCAAGGTGAGAATTTTTGGTGTATTTTCATTTCTATTTTAGTGGCCTAAATAACGATTGGTAAAATCCCCATAGAAATCCATATAATAGTTCTGTTACGTAACAACGATTCTCTTTCGTGAGCTTGCGGTACCTGTGATTATTTGCTTCTTCGTCCATTTCACATTAATCCTACAAAACCCTCTAATATCAAAATTAAAATCCTCATCCGGTGTACCTGTACGGTTTCTCTTTAAGTAATGGGAGCAGTTTTGAAGTATCAGCGCGTTATATCCCCTGAGGGGGGGGGGGGGGGGGGGGGGCCCCCTCAGCGCGTTATATCCCCTGAGGGGGGAGGGGGGGGGCAGGACCCCGCTTGGGGTTATATCATACGTATAATCATACCCTTAATTCTTTTCACCAATCTGCTTTATAAAGCATTGATCAGTTGCAAGGAGAAATGTGATGCTGAGGTGTTCTGCCTTTGACAAGCAGAAGGACGAGCAAAATGTCAAAGAAAAAGTTCATATCAAAGTTAACCTTGAGTCAGCACACAAGTTATTGTAGCGTGGTATGACGCGCCGCTTCTTTAAGAAATTAATTATTACATGGAAATTGCTGAATACTACAAATAACGTATTTACACGAACAATACATTAACTCACTGGAAGCCCTGCGAATTATTTGCTGCATCATGATAAGTGTGACCTGGCAAAAAATAGGCGTGGAGCTGGAGAGTGTAACTTAATATTGCAGATTAGAGGCGTCTGTTTAATTAGTTTAATTTTTGCTCTGGATTTAACCCTTCTTTTTTCTAGCATGATAAAGCATGTTTCAAGTACAAACATTTTTGTTATCTTAACAAAAGCTGAATTTTGGCAATCTACGTTCGCATCATTTGATTCACTCGTCCTTCATAAAGTCTAGATCACAAGACCTACGACAGTTGAGTTTTTTCCTTATTATTGCATTGCACATCCTTACTACTCATAATTACAGGCATCAGATGATTAGACCGCGCACATTATTAAAACATGGCGCCTTTTTCCTTGAGGCTGGCGCTCCCTAGAGAGATAAATCTTCAATTTCTTTTAAACGACTATGGTGATCTATCATTTTGTAAATTTCTCTTTTTTTCTAATATTCTTTTTCTAGAATAAACGTACACTTCAAGCAAGACTGTGGAGAATATGAAGTCTAGCTAATCTTCTTGTTTATTTCATTCGTTTTTCTGAGGTTTGTAAAAAGGGCTTTAACTTTGAATTCTGCTAACAGAAACCATGCCACTAAACTAAATGTGGGGAAAAAAAAAACAGGATAATGGAAACCACCTTAAAACGACGGATGTTTATTGGAGATGCGCTTTTAATATTAATTGCCTTGACGTTGAGGGGTTTTAAAACCTTTTACTGTCCAACATATGTTTCAGAACGTGGGCTAAGTAAGAAGGAAAGAGTAAGAAAGAGGCGTTCGTGGAGGGAGAGAATCCTTCATCCGACGTCTTCCTCATAAACGTAAATTCATTCAAGAGCACGCCTTCCTGACACCGCTGTCGTTCTCTTGGAAAGACGAAGTTATAATACACAATGAAAGAGGTAGCAGATTTCTCTCCCCGCCTCATCATAAACGTCGTAGTCAATTCCTTCTCATGTTACACAACAATCATGTTGAACATTGTCTTAATATTCGCCCTTCGAAGGTCTTCATCACTGCCAAAGACTCTAAAAGCATTGATCCTTAGCGTGGCTGTTTCTGATCTTGGTATTGGATTAGTTGTCCAGTCTTTGTACATTGCTCGCATGATTATGACAATACAACAAACTGACGACCACGAAACTTCTAAAGATATATATAGAGCTGTGCACCCCATAGGACGCACCCTTGGTTATGCTTCATTCTTCGGTGTCACAGCTATCAGCGTTGACAGATTCCTTGCTATCCACCTTCACCTCAAACACCAGGAACTTCTCACCTACCAAGAATTTTTGACGTACAAGCGTGTTGTAGCTGCAGTGATCTTAAGCTGGCTTCTCAGTGCTTTCCTGGCTCTAACCGGTGTTTTGAGCGGTGGATATGTTTGTAACCTTGCAGTGGTGGCTGTGGGATTGGTTTGTCTTCTTACTATGGGTCTAATCTATTTCAAGATTTACATAGCCGTACGTCGCCACACCGTTCAAGTTCATGCACAGCCAGCCCAAGCAGTGGCACCGAACGAAGAAAACCGATCAAATTTTGAAAGACTGAGAAAAACAGCAGTTGGTACATTTTACGCCTATCTGTTGTTTTTGGCCTGCCATTTGCCAATCGCTATTGTGATCTTGCAGACACGGAGAAATGAGGTGGGGGAACATATGTTAATTTACACTCACACGCTGCTATATTTGAGTTCATCCCTCGTTCCTCTGGTCTACTGCTGGAAGTTTAGACACATCCGATGCGCTATCAAGAACATTCTGCGAGACATTTTTGCAAGCCAGAATCAGATTCAGGAAGGGTAGATTTCATTAACATGGTTCAGCCTTTGGAAAGTTAAATTTTATCGACGAGATTCAGACTTTGAAAAATGGCATGATCTTTCTAGACTCTGTTAGTGCACACGTCGTAGAGGAAGTTATAACAGTTTTCCTGGGTCATGTTTAAGCGGTAGTTGACTTTTGTTTCTTGGCCGATTTATTTGTTCTTGTTAACGTAGCATGCACCGACCTATATTTATGACAAGTAAATACGTAGAACGTGCTGTGGCTTTTGCTAACAGATTTGTAGTATTGAATAAATGATACGACTCGCATGATACAGAAAAGAACCAGCTATTTGTCCATTGTCATCATCAGTGGCACTTCTTCTCAATAAGACTCAAATATGAATGTCTCCGTTTCAATGTATCAGCGCATTAAGCTCTAAAAAACAGAGTGAACATTTTATGATTTCTAAAATGGAATTCACAGCTACCGTGCTAATTCTATGCTTGTATAAATATATTTCCTCGCAATTTTGCATTTGTCTAATTGTTGCATGTCCTTAGGCTCAGATCAGCTCTTTAAAAACATTACGCTTTATGGTAAATCCATTTGTATACTAGCTCTTCTGGCGTGTAGTGCGTTATTACAGACTGTAGTTAAGGTCCCGTCTCCCAAACGCTCACCTCCTCATCCTCCTTTACGTAGATCGAGACCTTCGCTGTAAACAGCATGTTTTCAAGTGTACTAGATGTAGGCTTAAACTAAAATCGGTAAAAACGATCAGGCAGTATGACTATCTACTGACGGTTACAAGGGCAGAGGTTTCCCAAAAGCCATGGGCTATAAATTTGGATATTATTATATCTTTTCGCCCAATTGTTTTCAGGAAAAAAAAATTACAGTAACTCGAAGTGAAATTTTGAACACTTTAATGGCTAAAGGATTAAATTGACTGCAAAAACCGTGGACAAAGATCCTGCTAGTTGTAAACGTTGGATCTCTAGAAAAGAGATCAAATCAGCCAAAATATAAAGAAACAAGAACGAGAAGTCCAAAGACTACAGCAAAGCTGATTTAAAACAACGTGTATTGTTTTTTATAACAATATTTCGGCTGGCCATACCAGCCTTCTTCAGGTTTACAGATGTTACTGAACTTATGTAGCAATCACAATATTATATAGATGGAGAATGTCGCAAGAAAAGGGAGAGGCGGAAATGACGTACAACATAAAAACTGGAAAGGAAAAATACTAAGGATATGGATTACAATAATTCGTCACGGCGGTTTAGGCCATGAGGTTCAAGAGTCATGGCCTTATCTATCAAATGCGACTCCCTGGCCTTACGAACTGAGTCACGTGAAGAATGAATTTTCTCTAGTGGGATTAACTGCATGTCAGTATGAGAATGGTTAGAGTGAGAGAGAAAGTGTTCAGAAACAGTAGTGGGTTTAGATTTAGTGTTAGTCTTGTCGACTGCACGTCTGTGTTCGTTAAATCTGTCCTTGAGACGTCGCTTAGTTTTACCTATATATTGTAAATTACAACGGTTACATTGAACCATGTAGATAACATTTTTTAGTGTTACAAGTAATGTGTGAAGTAATGGAGCGTGTTTCACCTGTAGCGTAAAAGGTATAACTTGTTAGGCCGTTAGTAATGTATGGACAAGTGGCACAATTCTGTCCACAGCGGAAGGAGCCCGGCGGAAAATGATTGGTGGAGATAACGGGTAGTTGTGCTTTAACTAAAAGGTCACGAAGATTAGAGCTACGTCTGTAAGCAACAAAAGGCGGTTGCTTAAAGACGTCTTTGCAACGGTTAGAGGAGTGTAAGATGCTAAAATGTTTGCGTAGGATATTAGAAATGCGTAGAAGGGCTGGGTTATGTGTAACAACAAATGGTACAACATCGTTAGAAGCTTTGGGTTTAGTCTGTAACGCGTTAGTACGAGAAATATTAGCAGCGCGTAGGAACTGTTTTTCTAGGAAATTATTATTATAACCACTAGCAAGGAGATATGTTTTAAGTTCATTAATGCGATGGTTAAAAAGAATGTAATTATACTTTTCAAAGTGGACAAACTTATTAAAATGCTCACAATCAGCTTGGCTAAGTCTGTTTACCCCATTTAAGGTCGAAGAGAGGAGACTTCTGTTTATTCGCCTAGCTTAGCAAGAAATTAAGTAAAAAATTGACAAAAATACGATTTCAATAAAAACCAGTGAGGCTCAGGTACCTGACCGATGCTTGAGTTGGATTCAAATGCATGACTTTATGTGTAGTTTTCTCTTACAACATTGCTAATGTAAGGATTTACGAAAGCAATAAATGGTAAAATGTCATCCCATATTCTACCGAGTTTAAGAATGCCACTAGGCATGTCAGGTGGTACTGGCCTTAAAGAGTTTTTTTTTCGCTAGTAGTGAAAAAGAAAAAAAGGTCACTTCCAAAGCCTCTTTTTTTACATATATTTTATTTTATTGTGTTTTGAGGTAAAAGTACAATAACATGCCCGCGGGTAGCTAGGCTAATCTAGGCGGGTCGTGTTTAAAGCTAAAAGTAACAAGAGAACTAAAGAAAGTAAAATTGACAACAATGACTAGAGACTACTGATAAACTTGATAGACTGAAATTCCTTCTTCAGATCATTCAATTGTCTCTTTAAATCATCGTTTTCTCTTCTTAACGCTTTCCCTCTAACTCCTATTAGCCAACGAAGAAAAAAGAGACGATCCTAACTAGCCTAACAGCAAATACATATAAGCAAGAACGCGGAGCGCTAGCTGAAGCGTCCGGTCAGTCTCGCGGCACGTGCACCTCTGGAAGTGTAATCATAGACAGAACTTCAGGAATGAGTACTTTTCGAGCAATGAGGGAATATGGAGATCTCTTTGACCGCCAGCTGTGACTTGTAAAGCTTTAACGCCCTTTTGTCTTACACTTCCATGATGTTGAACATTTTAACAATATTAGCAAAGATTTAATTTTCTTTGCCAAAGCCACTGAAAACAGTGCTTTTACGATCGTGGAATCGATGATCATTGCATTGCAAAGTACGGTGCATAGTAGCTTGATGTAGACGCCGGTTAATAAATATCGTGGCGTAAGAAAGAAGTGAGGTGATGATAGTAAGCATTCCCAAGACTGTGAGTGTTGCCACGGCGATGTTTCTATCCCAGAACAAGAACATGAAAGTACACAAAACAAAAATTAAACAAAAGCAGAAAACAACTACACGAACTCGCTTTAGTGTTACGACGTGCCCCGGGGGGGTACTCGATATATTCCTGGGTAGGGAGGCACGGCGCGGCCCCTCATACCCTGACCCTTTTTAAGACAAACATCCTGAAAAACATACCCTGGCTGGCCGCACGTCCCCATTAAGCCCTTATAAGGGAGTACCCCCCCCCCCCCCCCGCCCGGCCCCGTCCCTTTCCCCCACCAAAAGGGGGGAAAGGCGTCCCCCCCTTGAACACAGCGTTTGGAAACCGGAAACCCCCCAAAAAAAAAATATAAAAACCCACCTTTAACCAAAAAAAAAAAAAAAAACCCACGGACCGTCAC